CTCTCTCTCTCTCTCTCTCTCTCTCTCTCTCTCTCTCTCTCTCTCTCCACACATGTGGATATGAGGGGACAGGTGTGTGACTATATAGGGTGTGTATAGGCAGCCAGACGACCATGGGGGTTGGTACTCACCTTCGGTCTTCTCTTTGAGACAATGCCTCATTGGCCAGGAACTTTGCCATGTGGGCCAGGCCGGTCTTCCAATCAGCTTGAGGGATCCTCTTGGCCCCCATCTCACTACCTCTGGGATTACAGGTGCCCCACGGGCATCCTACACGATGCCTGGCTTTTGACATGGGTTCTGGGCTAAACTTATCTTCATGTCTGGGAGGTAGGCACTTTGCTGTGTCTGTCCAGCTCCTGTTCATTCCTGTCAAACAAATGAGTGTGGACCACGTGGCTTGAGCAGGAGGGACACCTAGAGCTTCTGGGTAAGCCCAGCCTAGGGTTCTGGATGCCCCAAATCTGAGCCTTCTGAGCCTCCCTCTGCCCACCTGCCACTCCTTGCCCATCACCCAGTGACACAGTGCCATTCCTCCTTGGTGGGCTATCAAGACAGGGTCTAGTCACTCCACACCCCACCAAGGACATCTCACCTAAAGATTCCTTAACTTTAGATCTGGGAAAATGGCTCAGCTGCTAACGACACTTGCTGTCAAGCCTGATGATCAGAGTTTGAACCCCAGGATGCACATAGTGAGGAAACCAACTCCCGAAAATTGTCCTTTGACTTGTGGTATACATAGGTATGTGTACACACACACGCACACACACACGCACGCACGCACACAGAGAGAGAGAGAGAGAGAGACAGAGAGACAGAGAGAGAGAGAGAGACAGTGAGAGAGTGACGGAGAATAAGTAAGTAACTGTGGTAGACAACGTGATTCCTGAATCCCCCCATTGATCTCGGGCTTTGGAGACAAACTCGTCCTCTTTGGTGGAAGCTGCACTCAGTCTGCCTCTGACCTCTTTTCCCACCCTCCCCAGAGAGCATTAACTATGTCCCCCAGCTCCCCAGAGCCACCCTGGAGGGGAGACTCACACAATCTACCTTCACACTGGAGCAGCCCCTGGGCCAATTCGAGAATGTCGGCCTCTCTGACCCAGACCCCATCTGGCTGGTGGTGGCTCACAGTAACGGTAAGCGCGTTTGCTTTCTCACTGTGAAGTGGGCACGCAGGGCTGGGGTCTAAGAGATCTAGCAGTCAGGGGGCGTTGGGAGGGAGGTACTTTGGGGGATGTCGCTGGGAATGGCTGTCAAGTCTACTAGGATGGATCACGTGGTTCTGTCCACCTGCCAGCTGACCCCCATTGCCATCCCCAGCCTCTCAGAACTTTACTGCCCCACGCAAGGTAGCGAACGTGCACGCCCCTGCCAACTTTGACCGCAATGGCTACTACCTCACGCTGAGGGCCAGCCGGGTACACTACAAGGGCGGCCATTCTGACAGCGGGCTCCGAGTCCTCCGTGTTGGGAATGACAACAACTGCTCCTTGGGGTCCCAGGGCTGTAACCCTCCTTTGCCAGGAGCAGGCCCCTACAGGTGAGCGGCAAGGCTCGGGGCGGTGGTCACCCTGTCTGGCACAAACACGAGACAGGGGCAGCTAACGGGCGTTTCACTGAGGTCAGGTGGGATAGTTGGGTTCCCTAGTCTTTTCCCTCCCTCCCTCCCTCCCTCTCTCCCTCCCTCCCTCCCTCCCTCCCTCCC